TACATTCACTCTCTCTCTCTCTCTCTCTCTCTCTCTCCTTTTTTTGTTTTCCCTTGCACTCATAATTTCTCAATATTTTTAACATCGCATAAAACATATTCGCCAATTCAACATGAATCTTGAAACATGAAAATTAATTTCATTCTCGACAAATCGTTAAATATTATTTTAATTGAGTCTTGATTAATAAGCAGTTCGTAAACATCGCCGCATTATCATTACAATAACCCTCTCATAATGATCATCATTGTTTCTCATTTTATATATTCCTTTTTTTTCTTTTTTTTTTCTCCCTCTCTTCTCTCTCTCTCTCTCTCTCTTTTTTTTTTTTTAATAAATTTATGTAGCTTTAAAGAGCTTGAAATAATTTTCCATCGTTGGTTAATCTTTTTTTCTTTCTTTCTTTTTTTTTCTTTTTTTTTTTTTTTTTTTTTTTTTATTTATTATTATTCATTTATTACGTACGTACGTGTAAATGATAATATACGACGATTATGAGAGTACATTTAATATTGATGTGTTATACATGTACATGTATATATAATAATAATAATAATAATAATAATAATAATAATAATAATAATAATAATTAATAAACTATATATCGAAAGATATAACTGTTAATGCGGATTTATTCGCACGAATGATTCGACATATAATATGCTTCCTTCTATGTCTCTCGCCGAGGTGTATGACTTTACGGATCGTTGAATATACATTTATATGTTAGGTATATATATATATATATATGTGCGTGTGTGTATATGTGTATGTGTATGCGTGTTTGCGTGTGCGTGTGTCGTTTATCTATGCACGCAGTGATCATATCCGATATCACTACAACCGAGGTTCAGTCTGATTTAACTATTTTCTATCTCTCTCTTTCTCTTTATCTCTCCTCTCTTTCCTTCCTCTCTGTGTATGTGTCTGTGTGTGTGTGTATGTGTGTGTATACTTCTCTATCTATCAGTCTATCTATCCACTTATTTATCTATCCTATCACACTTGTTAGTCTCTGTAAACTCGTGTCTTTTGATTTTATTGCTTTACGTTACTTCTTTGACGTATAACATATCAAATATGTTTTATTCATTAATTCTCGAAAAGAGAGAGAGAGAGAGAGAGAGAGAGAGAGAGAGAGAAAAGGACGTTCATTCACGTACATATGTAAACGCTCATTACAAAAAAAAAAAAAAAAGAGAAGAAACATTATTCTCGACGATTAAATCGATTTTTTCCTTTCTCACTCGTTAAATACTTAAAGGCATTCCATGACAATGCCGCGTTTCATGTGTTTCACGATAAGCATAATTAATAACATATACTGACAATCTTTCATCTTATAATGAGACAATTCACTTCTCGAAATATATAACATTTGTTACATTTGCTTTTTATTTCTATCCTATCGTCATCTCGTTTGTCTCTATTTCAATTCTTTCTTCTTTTTTTTCCATCTTTTTCTTTTTTTTTTTTTTTCATATCTTCTCTTTCTTCTTTATAATGTCATTTCCACCTCCTCCATTCGTACTTTCTCTTTTCATTTCTCGTCCCCTCTATCGGTCTCTTTCATTTCCTCCTTTCCACGTTTTTTTTTTGTTACAGCGGACGGATCGACGCAAAAGAAATCTTACTTTTTTTTTTTCCTTTTTTTTTTCTCTTTTATTATTATTATTATTATTATTATTATTATTATTATTATTATTATTACTTTTATTTTTGTCCTTTTTCTTTCTTTTGCTTTATTCTCGTTGAAACGTCGACAACGACATAAACATATAATGCACAATTGTGAGAAAATAAAGATTCTGTACGTTGAACTCATCGTTCTTCTTTCACGGTCAGAAATGATAGTCATCCTGATGCTCGTCAAACGAGCAGTTGCATTATGCCAACGCATAAATATATCCCCGAGCGGATAATGCTTTAACCAATGTACAACTGCACTCCTTTAAAGAGATAATAAAACGCTCGGTGATACTCGTTCCTTTACGAGTCTCTTCTTGCACTACGAATGCAACGCGAGTTCAACGAGATTGATATATATATATATATATATACATATAAATATGTATGCGGGGGTGTGTGTGTGTGTGTACATATATATATATACATATATATATATATCACCGCGATGTTTCTACCGGGTGTTGCGAATATTTACAAATAAAATGAATAAATAAAGAAAGAAAAACAAAGAAAGAAAGAGAGAGTGTGTGTATGTGTGTGCGTGTTTTTTAAAAGAAGATATTTGATCGTCGAGAAAATTTTTATTAAAATCTAAAACAATAAAAAAAGAAATAAAAAAGAAAACAAGTAGCAGTGTCAACGTTCGAATATCTGTCTTCTTTTTTTTTTTCTTTTTATTATTTGTATGTATGTATATATATATATATATATGTTGTATATATTCAAATATATTGCTCGTATAGGATCGACGACGAGATTGATTTTTTTTTAACATCCATATATTTTTCCTTAATTCGATAGTGTTCTCTCT